TTTCTTTAATTAAGTTTTATTTCATTGTAAGTTATTATTTTTCATTTATTAAATTTTTTAAATTTGTATCGTTTAATTTATCTTACTTTTTTTTTAATTTTAGTTTATATTATTTTATTTTTTGTATTTTTTTATTTTATTTCGTTTAAAATACTCTTAATTTGTTTCTTAATATCGTATTTTCATTGAATGTATTTAATTTTACAATTACTATTTTACAATACTATATTTTATTTATATAAATAATAAATTTCACTTATTTTGTTTTATTATACATATATTCACTTTTTATTCTTTATTATTTTATTTTATTTCATATTATTTTGAATTATATTATTTTATTTACTTTATTCTTTTGTATTATTTTAGTTATTATTATATTTCTTTCTTTTATGTTATTTTATTTTTTTAATGTATTGTATTTATTTTAATTAACTTAATTTTTTTAATTTCAGTTTTATTTATCTATTTTGACTTATTTGTTTTTTGGCTTAACGTTTTTTAATTTCACTATGCATAATATAGTGTCTTTTATATTACTTTATTTGCATTACTGCTCTTTATGCCGCGTTCTCTTTTATCACAGTATTTTATGCAATTCTCTAAGTGTGTGGGTTCTTCAATGTCAGCAGCTCCATTTGATTCACTCCTTCCTTTTCTTAATTTTTCTTCGTTCTTCTTCGTTTACAAAGAAGTTAGCATTAATATCATCTTTAATGTCTGGTTATATTATATATTCGGAATTTCCTTTACTTTCTACTTTTTTTCTGGTTTTAGTACTTGACAGTTCCAATACAGCGTCTAAGTCTTTTTCTGCTCTAGAAGTCAGAACCAGTGGAAAAATTTCATAAATAAGTACTGAAATTTTCGAATCAGTGTCTATTGATCTTTTCAGGAAATCATCAGAACATAGAGAAATTGATACCAAGTCTGGCCAGTTGGTGGGTGAGTAGAATGGTAAATAGCAGCCGCTTTACCCATAGGTAGCGCTCTGATGATTGTGGTTTACATAAGTAAAAAGCTTAAAATAAAAAGGAAAAAAGCCCATCGCTTGCATGTTTCTCTTAATGGATTAACAAAATTCTTTATTTTTAATTAAGGAAAATTGTAAAGTAAATGTAGATAAAGTACAGAAAATTAAGAAATAATATTTAAAATTTTTCTTAGGTTTGGGTAACAAGTGCATTTTCCTCTATTTTTCCTAAACAAATTCGAAATGATCAGTCTAGCAACTCTAGTAAAGTCGTTACTAGTGACGAAACTTGGTTCAATTAATACGATAGAGAAAGCAAACAGTAGTCCATGGTACGGGGCCCAACAGTACCAAGCCCACGTAAAAAATCTAAGCAATAAAGCGAAATTAATGTTGACAGTTTACTTCGCCCGTTCTTAAATCGTAGCTGCTATTCTATAGATGGTAACAACAAAGTGATACAACGAAAAGTGCTTACAAAATGATTTCAAAAGTTTGTTGGAAAATGGGAATAAAGAAGTTTGGCGGCGCTACTTTTAACACCATGACAACGCGACGAGTAATTTTATTGCGAACACTGGGATCGAAAAAATACGTTCAGCACCATATTACCTGGATATATCACTTTGTGGCTTCTGGTTATTTCCAATAATTAACATAAATATAAAAGAAAAGGTCTTTAATATCAACGAGAAGATAACTAATATGGTTAATGCTGAGCTCGATAAGTTTAAAAGCAAGGTTTTGAAAGCTGTCTTCAGAAGTTAAGAAATGCATTGAAATGAATGACGATTATGTAGAGAAGATGAAAATGGTTAAAGATTAGGAAAAAGGATATATTTCAAGATTATTTTTTATTTACTATTTTCTTTTTTCTTTTTACAATTCCTTGCCAATTTGATGCTTCCAAGTGATTCTTTGCTCCCACTAACGGTTGCAGTATCTGTCTTTTAATTCGATAAATTATATAAAATGGCTGTACATCTTATAGTTAAAACCCTTCGTCATTTGAACGCCTGTCTTTATGTATGCATAGTATCAAATGGCTTGATGAGGTCTGTCTCTCATGCACTTATCCAACTAAATTTCGCAAAGAATTCGATGAAAGCATTCTGTCAGTTTTCCGTCGCCATATTTGAAAAGCTCAGCCAGTAAACTATCGGCCTATCTCTGTTCGAAATACTTCCTAATCGGGTTACAGAGTGTTTATTTCGTCTTAGAAAGGAACTTCGCAATTGGAAGGTTGGTTAACCTTATTTAAGTTGACGAATCTTATCATAACATTTCTCTTGTCTCCTTGTTTGAAATTGAAAAATGGAAAAAGTCACTGGGAACCAGCTCCAAACTCTAGTGTTGTTGCATGTTCGATGTTAACGAAATGTTAATAAAACTAGTAAAAAATAATGAGTTATGCAATTAGTATTATTAGTGACGAGATGATGTGTCATCTTTAACTACTTTAGATCGCGAAAAAACAGCCGCTGTACACACAGGCAACAAACCACATGGTATTAACTTTTCTTTTATTGTATCGAAGAGCACAATTTCTTTGTCCGCTGAACGTGAAATGCCGTCTCACAGTTCTCTTATGCTGAGTTGTTGATGAGTGTTCTCAGATGAAAAGAGGTCATAAATTAAGTGTGAATGTGTCGGAATGTTTATACGAATTTTCATTGTTTGCATTGCAAACAAACAAATTGGTTCTTATGACAGCCCTCAAGCGAGTTCTCATGCTTAGAATTTTTATGTGGATACTTCTAGCTGTTCGTTTTTTGCTCACTCTTTCAGTGAATATTCTCATCCCGTTAAAATATATAAACGCACTTACAATTTATATACGCACAAAGAACTTGGCAAAGAAAGCTGAACAAATTTTTATATAAACCGTTAAGTTTGACAAAAAACAGAGAACCAAATCTCGCAGTCAGGCTGAAATTTGCTCAGCCATGAAATAATGGTATGCTGTTATTGTTGTTTTACTCTCAAAGTTTTCATATGTTGCAGAGAGGAGCGCGCGATTCAGCTGTTACGCAAACATAAGTTCGCTAGAGTATGTTCTCAATACGTGCATATTTGGTTATTAACTCTGGTAAAGTGTCTGGTAGGGATCATAACTGTGATCTCGGAGGTACACTTACAACGCCTAGAAGTATGCTTTTAATATATACTTTCATCATTGTTCGTACAAAATTTGTTTAGTAAAGCCCTATCAGATTAGTTATGAAGTTTTCAATGCCAATAAATAATAAAATATGTATATTTATTTTATATCGATACAAAAGATTGTTATAACACCTTTTAAAACTTTTAAATATTTGCCTCCGACACGTTTGCATGCTGTTTCCAACTGTTTGTGCGCGCAACCATCTGAAATGGTGAATTAAAAGTGCTGCTACTGACAAATTATTACAAAAGCGAAGCGATGTAAAAGCTATTGAAATATCGAGTTTATATAGCAGCAAGGACTATCTCTACTCCTCATTTTATTTTATTTTATGTTAAGTTAAAGGCTACCCTGGTATACACGGAAACCATAGCAATGGAACAATCTTCAAACCATCTTGAACTTCCGTAACTAAAAAATCTATGGCTAGCCTTGAAATACGGACTTCATTCTATAATTTGTTATGCAGTCTAAAAGTTGTCAGCGCTCATTTTTAAAATTGGTTGAAATATTCACAACCTGAGAGACTAGCTTGATAAGAAACAGACGGACAAAAGGTCATGGCTAAATAAACGCAATTCGTCACTCTTCGACACGATGGGTATGAATTTTGTATGGTTCTGTCACTTTTTCTAATGGTATTCAATAACATATGTCTGGTAGTGATAAGAAATAAGACAAACAAACAGCCAGCTTATTCTGGTCTTAGCTCCCATGTCACTTTGGCTCGTCACAACTTTGATGTCGTAGATGGTTACATCACTCTTGACATTCAAAGTAGAATTTCCCTTGTCAACAGTTGGTCTTTTGGACAGAGTTTGTTGATATTGGGGGGTTTCGAAAGAAATACTTTACTGACCTTTTATAATTGAGACGCCGATTGATTGGCTCTGCGTTATATATGGCGACATTGATATAGCCATGTGAGTCATGTTGTGTGTAGGATGGGGCATTGAAAGTTCGATGCAGTAGCCACTGGTGTAAGCATAGAAAGTGGAAGATCTCCACCTAATCGAAGAAGGTCTTGGCCCCAAAAATCTCAAGAATCTGCTATCATTAAAGAAACGGCAACAACAAATGTTGAGTAATTACGTTATCAGAGTTAATATCTGTGAAAAATTATGTAACTTATTTAATATGTCTTAATATAATTTGACGTTCAGTACCCCAACTTTATAATAACAAATAAAACGTTATAATGTGATATAAGTTGCTCCTTTCAACGTACGATTCATGTATAAGAAAATGCTAATATCCTTCTTGAATATTTCCACATAAGGATTACCAATGGCATGTTGTTGACAACGTACTGTTTGAAATATTGCAGGTATTATGCAAATTCACAAATATTTTAGTACTTTATTTTATTTTGCGCTTTGTTTGTGAGTAAAAGAGTGTAAATAAGCAAAATGTGAATATGCGATTCTTGAACGGGGCGGGTTTGCACAATACATTTTTGTTTGGATTTCAAAATAAATTTAGTCGCATACTGAGTATTTATATATGTACTTTTATGAGCGGCGGCTGTAGTCAAGTGGTAAGTGTGTACTGCTATTTCGAAGGCCAGGATACGGGTGCTGGTGTGACCAACACTCGAAATTATAGTAAGAATAATTTTTGCCCTTTGGTAGAGAATGTAAAGCTCTGTGAGTATATTTCTGAAATGAAATAAAAGCTCCTCCTAAAATACATTAGCGAATAAGTTGCGGCTTAGAATGAGCTGTAGGCTCCTTCTTATGTTAGAGAGCAATGAAAAAAGATGCGCAACACAAATTGGGGTAGGAGCTCGGCCAAAAACGGCTACAGGGCTTTTTTGCGCACCCTTGTGCAAAGGACCTTACAGTTTTCTACCATCTGGGAGGGTGGAAAGTTTCTTAAAAGAAGAGCGAATATTTTTTCGTTTCATAATTCTTACAGCTTCTTTGAAACCGGTTTACCAGCTTGTCAGGACTGTATTCCTATTTCGTGATCTCTTCTTACCCCATTTCGGCCAAAGGTCCCTGGATTTGCCACAGGTTGTAGTTTCATTCCACCTTGACGTGGTTTATTCATATAAATACCTTGAGAAACTGCTTGAAATTTCCATAAAGAGAGAATTTTACGTAGCCGTGCATTGCATAGCAAGTTCAACCGCTTTGTAGTTTCACTCGATATCTCTGTGAATATTTTCAGGCTGTCACCTGTGCCGCATACGCCTCAGCTCTCTAAGGTAGATTTGACAAAAACTTTAAAAACTGATTTAGGAGCAAAAGACGATAAGCCTACAGAACTGAGTCTACCTTGGGATTACTGTATTTTGCTGTGCTGGTAACACTGACTGACTGTTACGGCTAATTAGGTAGTGATAATTCTTTCTGCCGCCAAGGATTTGATGAAGGCTCTTCTCAATCAGATGTTTAGTGGAAACTAGTTGGCAATTGAGAGTTCAGCGCAATGGGTTTTCAAGGATTTCTTTTCTAACGTTCTTTAGGAGTCATTCAGCTTTAGATCAATAACTTTTTGATTTAAGCGTCCATCCAGGGTATAAAATAGCAGCATCTGCTCTGCTCTCAAACCTTCTGTAGATATCTTTCCATGAAGATCTTTTTCAATAGTTTTTTTTAAACACAGGACATACTTACTACCAAGTTTTCAATTGCTTGCTTTGGTGCTATTCTTGGTACACCCATAACAATGGCCACAATTATAAGTAGTTCCAAAAAAATTTATTTTCTGGTATGCATGGAATACAATTAAGCAATTTCCAAGAGTAACGGCAATGCTTAAAGCATTTGTATGTATTCGTCTTGCAGTAGTAACAAGATCTTTCTATTATCCGCTATGCCTTTGTGCTACTTACTTCATTATATGAACTTGTATGCAACCAAATTGGCTATAAAAATTAAGCTTTTACGGCTTTTTCAACACAATATTTTTTAAACTCCCATTTACGTACATAATGCATATGTACTTATTTTGTATATCAAAAGCAAGAATGTATTGTACTTTTAGGTTTTTATGTACTTGTACGTGTCTTTTCTTTTGTACCAATAAAATTTAGCATGCGCGAAAATTTTCTTATCCTTAGACACTAGGAGAAAAAAAACAATCAATTTCATTCATTAATCTTCTTAAACGTACACAATTTTTTTATTTTTTGTTTACTTTATAAAATATGTACTTGATTTTTAATTATCTTACTTAGTTTATTTCGAAAAAAAAGAAATGAAGTAATGAAAATTAAAAAAAAATTATATACAGAGGATTGTGTTCGCCAAATTAAGCTTTGAAAGAAAGTTTATTTAATATTTTATTATTACAGTTGCATCATTATTCGACGTATAAGATCGCAGATTTTTTAGCAGACGAGAAAAAAAAATTTACTATGTTCAACACTCAAACACAAACCTTTTATTATTAGTAATCATATAACTTCTTGTATATTTATATATTGTACTTCGAATTTAATGATGACCTAGTTCTAATCTGACGTTTTTATGTCAGCCGTTGCGTATACGCAACATTTTATATTTTATATTTTGTTGATGATAAAATAATTTGCGAAATTTAAAATTGAACCCACATATATCTATAAGAACAATAACATATTTAGGTCATTAGCGGTATTGTTTACAAAAGCGCCGGAAAACACCACTACAATTTCTGTTCCTGCAATAAAACAAACAGGCGATGGCTAGCAGCAAAAGTGTGTAATCGTATGGTGAAACTTGCATTTTCCTAATATTGTTTAAGTAAATGTTTATCTCACGGCTCACCTGACACTTTATAGGTAAGATCTGCCACGCAAACGTATGCAAAGCTTAATTACGAAATAGGGTGCTCCACTGTCGTCCTAAGAATTTCGCAAACATTCAAACATTATTGTATTTGAGCGAAGGGATGAACATGTAATTAAAGAAAACGCAAATAAATAAGCGACGAGTAGCGATGCGAGTGTAATAAAAACGTATAGGGAAATAAAACGAATAGAAGCATCAAGAAACGAAATAACTTGAACGGGTGAAGTAGTTAAGCAAAACCAAAATTGAACTATTTAGGTTACGGAATTGAGTGTAAAAATGTAATAATAAAACGATCATAATGCCGGTTGTAAAAATTGATACATTAAAATTAACGGACTTAAAAGAAATTCTGAAAGAGTCTTTTCTACAGAAGGTTCAAAATATGATTTGGTGTTAAGATTAAGCGAAGACTTCGGTTCGGACAATATCGAAATAGCCAACGTGAACGAGCCTGGGGGGCAACAGCGTCTAAGCGCTCCAGCTGACAGATCGCCTACAAGTTATAAGCTAGTAACTATTCCGTAAAGTAAATCGCAGAAACTATTCCGCAATATGATCCATCTATATCTGTTGAACAGTTCGTAGTGCGTGTAAATAGTGCTATCAAGCCTATCAATGAGAATGTGTTTTACTGGCGGTGTATAGTCGACTTAAAGGGCTAACAAAGCTCTGGGTAAATTCCGCGGAAAAGATGTATTCAAGTTGGAAAGAATTATGGAAATCGTTATGCATAGAATTCAGTTTTTGGCATGACTTACTTTTTAAAATGTCTCAAACTATGCGTAAAATTGCCGAGAGTCTACTCGATTACTGTTTCCGATTTGGCGCGTTAGGTAAAAGATTTGGGTTAAATGAAACGGCTGAAGTGAAGTACGCAAGAGATGGACTTAAGCAGCGTGTACTACAGACTGCTATTGCAACAATGCGCAAATTACGATAAACAATAATTGCTTATTCTGAAAACTTACCGGTATGTACATTTTAACCAGAAAAATCCATCGTGAATGCTGAAATTAATTCTTATGAGCGTAGATACGTTGACTGCCGAAAAGTTCATCCTAAAGGTGAAGCTGAAAGTTATAGAAAGAAAAGTAGAATGGCGCGTTCGAATAAAATGGTGTGGATAGATGGTTTAAGGTTAATGTGAATGCAGTTTAATCAGTTGATCAGGGTAAGTGGGTTCTGTGGTGGTGTCATATATGCTTATTCAAAATCACGTGTAAACTTAAAGGTTGACAGTTGCTAGGAAGGCGTTTATTTGTATGTCAACGATTGATATAGACTTGCTGTTAAGGCAAGATGTTTTCAAAAACACGAAAATGGTTACATATCAATTGCTAGTGCTTGTATTAAGATTGCTAATAATAGCAATTGAAAAGATTTGCACTCTGAGAAAATAAAATGCGCAATAGACGACAAAGAAAATAAAAATAAACTACTCGATTTAATAGATAATTATCGTGTTCCATTTGCTACAAATTGAAGTGCAATCGGACGTACTGAACTCATAGTTCAGAAACCATTTCAGGTTCCTGAGCTCAAGAAGAAAGTAATTGTTGATATGTTGAAGAAACTATTTGATAATGACATTATTTGTAAATCAGAGTCGGAATCTGCTTTCAATGATTGAATCAACAAATGCGGAAAGAAATATTTCCATCGCCATATATACAATAGAATAAGAACTATAGCTAGCTGAAAGTTTTAAATATTTTTCGATACCAGACCTTAACTGTGGCTACTATCAAATTGCTATCGAGGAAAGCAGCTGAAAGTATACTGCGTTTATTATGGGTTTATATGAGTTTAAAGCATGCCGCATACTCAAAAATGCCCCGGCCGGTTTTCAGTGTCTTATCGTCGAAATTAAAGTATGAAAACAAACGACATGATCAATTATATTAACGATATATTAATCGGTAGTTTGACGGTGTGTGATATGTACGAAAAACTTGAACGTATTTTGAGAGCATTACAAAAAGCTAACATTGCGCTTAATTTGCAAAAGTGTGAGTTTTTCAAAACAACCCTGGAAATTTTGGGCCACGATCTGATACCAGACAGTATATCTCCGGGTTTAGCTAAATCTAAAGCTAAGAGCGGCTATTTCTAAAAATTTGTCACTGGGTATGGTATCATTGCTGGTACGTTGAACAAATTATTGGGAAAACACGAAACATTTAGGTGGTCAAATGATCAAGAAATAAAGATAGTTTTTATTTTTCGGCCGGTAATTACTGCTTATAACGGTTTAGCGGAGGTGTTAATGCAAAAAGAAGGCCACGATTGTTGCTTACAGCAGTCGTGCGGCTATAGACAATGGAAAGTAATTTCGTAGCTACGAGTTTGAAGCTATGGCTGTTGTCGATTAAATTGAACGGCTTAAATATTATATCTATGGCAAACGTATTACAGACTATAACGTATTAAAAACAGTTATAAACAAACGTGAGCTTGTGCCTTGCAGGTGGTGGCTCCGTATTCAAGAGTACGACCTTTGAAGATCATTTTGCCGATTTATTGCTTTGAAAATGACAACAGTGGGACTATCACTGTCAATTCGAAGCGATATGGGTGTCAAAGAACCGACTGTGTTGGTCTGCACTGGAAGAATGCACCTTGAACAATATGTGGTGAACGGTCGTAAATACATCAGATGAACAATCTTCGGGGCATCAGTATAAACTTCTTATAATGTTCGTTTTCAAATCATTATTAGTGCATCATTATTAGCAAGGATTACCACCTAGCTATATATAACA